ATGGATTTAACCTCCATGAATGTATCTAGTTCTCTTTTAAACCCTGGTATAGTCCTAGCCTTCACAACCTCCTCAGGCAAGGAGTTCCACAGATTGACTATGCCCTGTATGAAGAACTTCCTTTTATTTGTTTTAAATCTGCTGCCCATTAGTTTAATTTGGTGGCCCTTAGCTCTTATATTATGGGAACTAGTAAATAACTTTTCCTTATTCACTCTCTCCACACCACTCGTGATTTTATATACCTCTATCATATCCCCCCTTAGTTTCTCTTTTCCAAGCTAAAAAGTCCCAGTCTCTTTAATCTCTCCTCACATGGGACCCATTCCAAACCCCTAATCATTTTAGTTGCCTCTCTCTGAACCTTTTCTAATGCCAGTATATCTTTTTTGAGATGAGGAGATCACATCTGTATGCAGTATTCAAGTACCATGGATTTATATAAGGGCAATAAGATATTCTCTGTCTTATTCTCTATCCCTTTTTTTAATGATTCCTAACATTGGGTATGTCTACACTAGCCCCCTAGTTTGAACTAGTGAGGCTAATGTAGGCATTCGAAGTTGCAAAAGAAGCCTGGGATTTAAATATCCCGGGCTTTATTTGCATCTTCCCATCCGGTCACCATTTTTAAATGCCACTAGTCCAGACTAACTGCCCGCAGCTACATGTGGCAGTTAAACATTAATTCGAACTAAGTCCTTAGTTTGAATTACCTGTTACCCCTCATTCCAGGAGGAGTTCGAATTACCGTTAATTAATGCAGGGAGGTCTACAGGATCTGTCGAAAAAGGCTTTCTTTCTCGACAGATCCTCCTCTAGACTGCTGCTTTTTGCCGACAAAGTGCTGAGTCAGCAAAATGTGGTGGCCATTTTTATGCAAATTAGGCACGGGATATTTAAATCCCTGCCTCATTTGCAATGTCAACCTGCCTAATCTGCATCCCTCTGCGACAGAGGGATGCAGTCTAGACATACCCTAAGAGATGTCTCTGTCTGATCCCTGTACTCCTCTGCACCAATCGGCTTTCCCTCATCTCTTAGTTTAAAAACTGTTTGGGGTGAGGGTTCTAGGTGGCGCTTACCTTGGAGGGGCTCCCTGGATGTGGCAACATGTCCCTGTGGCACCTCGGCAGAGACGTGGCCAGGCAGCACCCCACGCTGCCTGCTGAAGCCACCCTTGCAGTTCTCACTGGCCATGGTTCCTAGCCAGTGGAAACTGCAGAATGAGCACTTGGGACAGAGGCAGCACATGGAGCCTCGCTGGCCGTGCCTCTGCCTAGGGGCAGCAGGGACATGCCCCCACTTCCAGGGTAGGGAGAGCAGAGCAGGGGAGGGAGCTTGCCATCCCCACTAGCCCCCTTCCTCACCAGTAACAGTGGCACGCCCAGGCCACTCACTGCCAGCCAGACCATCCCTCAGCAGTGACAGAAGGTCCTGGGCTACCTCCTCCCCAGAGCAGCCACAACACCCCTGGACAGCCTCCTTCAGAGCATCCATGGTACCTCTGGACTTCAGAGCACCCATTTTTTATTCAGAGGTATATAGCACAAACCATGGACAGGTCACAGAGCCATGGATTTTTGTTTACTGCTTGTGACCTGTCCATGACTTTTACTAAAAATATTGTGAGTAAAACGTAGCCTTCGTCATAAGTACCCATCCAAATTGAAACTCAGTTGCCTTTGAAAATGTGGCCAATGTCTTCTCCTGTGCATGATAATCTATGCCTTTTTCCTTAGGCATCCAGTGAGTATATCAAATCAAACATCTGTCTAGTGCACAGGCACATTGAATCTCTCTAAAGCAGCTGAGATGTTCTTTATGTTCTGCACAGATTATTAATTCTGCTGTGACAGAAAAGAAGATAAAAGGTGAGAGAAATCAGTGTGCTGCGCTTTCAGACACCTAGATGTCGGATGCACATGGAATAAGTATGACGATTTTCTGAGTTCAAGTGTGTTTTGTTTCCCTGAAAGAGAAATACTACCTGGAGTGCCTCGTTAAACATCAACTGACTAGCATGGTATGAAATTAATTAATTGGGGATTGTAACGGGGTATATCAACTCCTGCACTGAAGAGCAGGGAGCAAGCAGGACCCAGCTGCTTGAGAGAGCCGCTCCTCCACAGCCCTACTGGGCATGCTCCCAGTGGCACCAGACTATAAAAGGCCCTGGGGCAGTTCAGTCTGGGCTGACTGTGGAAGGGGAAGGAGGTGTGGAGAAAGCTCTGGAGCTAGAGGAGCAGGCACCAGGCTGGGAGAAGCTACCCCAGGAACCATGACCCTGGAGTAAGAGGGTGGAGAAGAACACTGTATGTGGAATGGTAGGAAGTAGCCCAGGGAGGAGAATTGTTTCCTGGGTGCTCAGTGTGTTGCAGCAAGATTCCCTGCTGAGCAGGCAGTGACCTGTTCCACTGCCAACAGGGCCCTGGGCTGGGACTGGGTGGAGTGGGCCTGGGTCCCTCTAACTCCTCTGTAGATAGCCCGTGGGGGTGAATTTTCCTACAGGCCTCTGGACTAGGTCTCTGGACTGTATTACTCCTATTAGAGGAATCTTGCATATAGACTCTGGCCGCCAGGCCATATTAACCCCGCTACAAGGCCCCGTGTATGGACCTTGTATTAGATGGTTTCTTTTGAAAATCATAAAAAGCTCAGCAAACCTGCCCTGACTTACAGGTTCATAACCCAAACCAGGCCATAGTCATGTCTCAGGTTTGAGCCAGATTCCTTGGCAGCCCCATGCAAAATCGATTTGTTTCTCTAGCTACTCTGGAAATTCTGCCTGTCTCTGTTGCGCTGGTCCCATTGCAGGAAAGGGGGATGTGTTTGCAGGAGCTGATTCATGCTGCTGTGTTCTGGCCAGGCCTTGTTCGGAGAAGGCAGTGAGTCCATCTCCTGTATGCATGCAGTCCTGGCACTTTTGCACACCTCTGGGCAGGAGCAGTAGGTGAATGGCTGGCTTGGGAAGACAAGGTCTAGCTCCACCACTTCTGCCCAAGGCCCTGCCCTTTCCATACCTACTTGGCCACTGCCCAGCATCTCAGACTCCCCTCAGCCTGGCTGCTGGCCCCAGTGCCCAGAGCAGCCAGACAGCTCCAGCTCCCCCACCCCAGCCTCCATGTCATCCAGGCAGACTGGTTTCTCACCAGCTCCCAGAGCGCTCGGCAGCCCCATCTCTCCACTACCAGAAGCCCCGAGTAGCTGGGCAGCTGCAAGGTCCGCCCCCCACCCCTCCCCGAGCAGATGGGAAATCCCCACCCCCAAGCACCACTCTGTCCCCTGGAGCAGCTAGGTGGCCCTGGTCCCTGAAGCATCTGACAGGAGCACTGGCCAGCAGGGCAGCCAGGCTGCAGCCCCAGCCTGCATAAGCCAGTGGTCAGCCAGCTGGAGTGTGGGTGGGACTACCCGGATCTTTCTGGATGGGCAATGCCTTCCCTTGCCTACATCACCCACTGCCCATGCCTTGGGGTGGGGGGGAGATAATTATATAACAGAGACAGCAGACTGGCTGCCTTGTACCAAGAGGCATAAAACCCAATCGCTTCTTGTGACAAAGCTAACAAAATAGGGGAGGGGATATGAAAAATTAGGGGCTATGGCTCTGGGCTTGACTTGATAGTGAGAGCGTTAGTCATGAATGAGAGTCTAATCCTCGTTCTTTCTCCAAGATACGGAGTGACATGGGTGCAGCACAGGTGAGGTGGTTCCACTTGTCACGAGAGGCCCCTGTAGAAAGTATCAGCACAGCTGGGTGTCACGCTGCCCAACACTCTTGACCTGGGGTTAGTAAATGGAGCAGGTCAGAGAGTGATAAGGCCAGCCAGTCTGTCATTAGGGGGATTCACTCAGCCATTGCCTCTTTGGGGTAGGTACCCAACTGGCGGTCAATGGGCTATAGTGGCCCCATAACAGCCTAGGAAAGGAATCCATCTCCCCTGTGCCAACCTATATCCTTGGGAGGATTTGAGCCTAAGGGTTTGCATAACAATTGCTGCTGGAGAGCGGTCCTTCCTAGCAGTGGCGGTTTAACATTGGGGTACTCACCTACCAAAAACTGGGGGAATAAGCTCGTGTCATCCTTATGCCAGGCTAAATTCCAAAATGTTAAATTAACATCTTGACGTTAGATTAAGGATCCACAGGGGGCAATTGTTCCTGTGCCCCAGGCTGTACAATGTCACTCCGGTAAAGGCTCCAGAACAGGATCAAGATTTCAGAGAGGGCATCAGCATTTCATTAAATGGGCTGTCAGGAGTGAGAAGGAGCCCCTTCAAAAGTATCCATGAATGATGAATCCCAGATGCAGCTAAAGAAAATGACAGTGCCACACCTGGAGTATTCATCTGGCTCTGCAAACTGCAGGCACCACCAGTTCTGCAGCATGCAGGTGTTAAGAATGTGCCAATGGGCCAAGCGAGCATAATTCCCCATGCTCCCTTTTTCATTCGTCTCATTTTTGTCAAGTGTTGTTTAGATCACTGTTAAGGGAAGGGTGAAATGGTTCATATAAAGCAAATATCAATCTAAACCTTCATCCATCTATTTGATTTTCACTGAGAAAATCCTCTTATGAGGTTCAAAAAAAATCAATTAACTTTTGTTTTGTTTTGTGGATTTTTAGTTTGTATATGCATCTCCTCTTGGTTTTCCAAAAGACGCCAAAATCTATTCAGCCCATGCAACCATCGAGTATTGAAATACTGCAAGCTGGAGGTGTCTGAAATCTTGGAGGAAAGCCAGCTATTGGGAACTCTGCAGTCCACTTTCCAGACCAAAATGGTTTAGCTAGAGTACAGAAAAGCAGCAAATGTTTGAATGGAGATCTACAAATCTTTTATATAAACAGCTCTTTCATTAGCAAATAGCCTGGATTTTTCTCTACATTTTAGCAAGCATTTTTCTTCTGGGCATGAAAAGTTCCCTGTTAAACTACAACTTAACACCTCCATCCTGAAATTCCTGATGTCTCTAAATACTCCAAATGTCTCCCACAGGTTCATGACCGCCTGGATCGTTACTGCTGTGGATTTCAGCCAGACCCTTCAGAACCCTGCAGGGAGGAAATGCTTCATGACAAATGTAGGAATCCTGCAGAGTTGGTCCTCGTCCACATCTTGGTACGATATGGCTAAAGAGTGTGTGTGCCTCCATCCTTTCTGTTTCAAACCTCTACATTTTATCTGTTTTGGTTATCTTCTAATTCAGTGGGATAATTGGAGTTATTTGGTGCTTAGTGTAAGTAAGAGTATAGTAAGTACTATATAAGTGTATCCAAATCTAGTCCCGAGAGAGCAGCAAGCACAGTGTGTGATTCTCTTTGTAACATTCTGCATCCAAAATGAAATGCAGCATGACAGCAGGGAGACCTCTCTCCATTTAAAGTTGCAGCACATAAAAAATAGTACGAGATTATCTCCTTTTGCATCAGAAGTACAAGTACTACAGGACATAAATCATAAGACTGGCTCCATACATCAGCAATACTCACATTTTATTCTGCCAGAATATTAAATTATATTCATTCTACACAAATTCTCATCATGAAACCAGATAGGTTGTTAATAAGTATGATTTTTGGATAGTAACAAAATCAAATAAAATAGGCCACTAAGAATGAAGCATGACATTGAGGTTCCTCAGTAATGTTGCTTAATGATAATCTGACCTTTGTTTTAGAAATCTGCTACAGGGCAATTTAATCCTTGGAGATGAGGTTAGTTTAACTGTAGGCACCTATCTATGATGACCCTCTGCATATTTTATTTGGTGCAACTAGTACATATGCTCAGCAATTTAAGACTTTCAGCTTAAATTATGGTTTTGCTACCAGTCCAAGGTGAAGGGTAGTGCATAGTTGCACGGGCTGGGCACAGACAAGAAGCTGGTCTCTAAGGGCACGTCTACACAGCAGGGCTAAAGCCAAAATGAGCTACACAACTTGAGCTATGTCATTTGTGTCGCTTAAGTTGAAATAGTGAATTTTGGCTTTTAGCACAGTCTACACTATAGGAAGGCCAAGAAAGAGCACTCTTCCTCCAACTTCCCTTACTCCTCATAAAAGGAGGGTTACAGGAGTCAGAGTAAGATGTCCTCTGGCTCGTCATTATTTCGACATTATGTCAAAATAACAGCTTGTAGTGTAGACATGGGCTATGTTATTTTGGAATAACATCAATTATTCCAAAAGAACACTGCTGTGTTGACATGCCCTAAGAGTTCATACGTGATCCATGGGTCCATCCTTTCTATGGCGTGTCATTGCTGCCAACACTAAATGTTCAAACAAACAAGCAAACCCCACCCCACTCTGCATACAAACTACCTTTCCTCCTAAAATGTCAGCTCAAAGAACCTCCAAAATTTGAACATCTTTTTTCTCCCCAGATCCGAGGCAGTGACCCATCTCACCTGGTATTCATTGACAATGCAGGTAGACCTCACCATCCAGAAGCAAAACTCAACTTCAGACTATTGGAAGGCATTGATGGGTAAGTAGAGCAACAGAAGTGATTCTAGCTAAAAGTACAGGAGGGTCATAACTAGTGTTCCCTGTAAGCCATGCATGTAGGCAGCCAGCTAGGAGAGATTCAGGTGCCGCCCAGCAGATCAGCAAAGCAACCACAGCCGCCTACAGCCAGCAGCATGTGTTTCTACTGGTGGTGCACATCCATACATGCCTTGGTGCACATAACAAAATTTATTCTGCATATACATGGGGGGGGGGGGTCAAAGGAACATTGGTCACAACCCATGCCATTGGAACAGTCCCTTCCTTTCAGGAGATAAAAGGCAGAAGTTAAGATTCTTCCATAAAAACAGATGTCTCTGGCAAGAATATATTGGAGAGATGGGGCTTGCCCTGTGTTTGTGAAGTTTTCTTTTAGACAGTGATTCTTAGGGCTCACCACCAGTAGAAAATCTGAGTCCTTTACTTCCCATATCCCTTGTTGATATCTACAGGTCCCCTCTCCCCTCCCTCAGGACTGTGCTAAAAATATTTGTTCTACATATACCAGTACTGAAAGCTGTGCAATCCCACAATGATATCTTAGGTTCTTGGATTGCCTTTTCACTCATGCCTCAATATGGAGACTGAGGCAGGCCCTCTTTAAGACAGTGGAAAGGCTCCCATTGACTGTAGTGGGGTTTGGAGAAGGTGCTACATGCAGAGATCAGAAACACAATTATGGGGCCTCTGTTTGATCTAACATGCACTAATGTAAATCAGGAGTGGTGTTATTGAAATGAATGGCATTACTGAGGTATAAAATTAGAGTGAGATTAGAATCAGGCCCTATGTGTGGATACTTCATGCAGAGGTGGATATTTATATCACACCATGGGGATGGCTGATGACTATCTCAGAATCTATAAAGTGTATTATTTTCCCTCTAGCTGGCAGCTGCCCAAAATATCCAACAGGTATTTCAGTGCTTCATGCGTCATTGCATAGCCAGCTTTCACACATTATCAGCCTTTTGATTTGAGACCACTTGGATTAATTTATGACGGCATTGTTGTGGAAGCAGCTTGCCTATTACAAGCAGATTTTTATATATTTTACATCCATTGTCATTTGTTAGCAGAAATGGGAACTACTCAGATCCCTGGATCAGAATCATCCTGGACTTGGGTTATCTGAAATCTGGACATAGCTCCAGATCTTGCTGCTTGAATCCCTTTGTATGTGCTAGGAAATAACGTGTCACTAGACACTCAGGCAACTTGTCCCCTAAGATTAAGGGGGGGATATGATAGAGGTATATAAAATCATAAGTGGTGTGGAGAGGGTGAATAAAGTTATTTATTAGTTCCCTAAATAGAAGAACTAGAGGACACCAAATGAAGTTAATGGGTAGCAGGTTTAAAACTAATAAAAGAAAGTTCTTCTTCACACAGCGTGTAGTCAACCTGTGGAACTCCTTGCCAGAGGAGGCTGTGAAGGCTAGGACTATAACAGAGTTTAAAGAGAAACTAGATAATTTCATGGAGGTTAGGTCCATAAAAGGCTATTAGCCAGGGGATAAAATGGTGTCCTTGGCCTCTGTTTGTCAGAGGCTGGAGAGGGATGGCAGGAGACAAAT